AGATCCATTGGGTGGGAAACTTGGAATAAGAACCTAAAAGGTTGGGGGGGATATAAAGAGGTAGGAGGAAGAAGATGATGGAATGAAATGCAGCAACGTGTGATATGTAAAGATGAAATGAAAGCAAGGTTGGGAGTAATTTGAGGCTACTGACTCTCCTGTGAACCCTCAGACTCCATACGACCAAATCCCTTTGTCTCTCTTTTCTCTCCTTTCCAACTTTAAAATTTTAATGGAAAGTTGTGATATAATCACAGGGTTCGCCCTCTGTTTCTTATCGTTTTGGGTAAGCTGTAAATCTGTATCGTCCACTCACACTGTCTTAACTTATCTATTGTTCTTACTCTTTTAATAGCCTCTTGCTTTATCCTTTCATCTATATGCCTCATTCCCTCCTCGTACCTTCCCTTACCTTTCTCTTTCCATTGTTGATAGAATGTGAAAGAAAGAAGCTGCCTTGCTAACATGCTCTTCTTCTAGCCCACGCAGGGGAATTCTGGTTCAGAACCCTTTTCAGGTTTGTAACTTGCCTCTGTTTCCTTATAGCTAATGGTAAAGCAAAAGGGTAGCTAATGGTTCATCTGGGTTGGACGTTGTTCTTTTATTCAAATCTAAGTAATGGATTGTTCTAAGCTAATGAATCCAAGTGTTGGGTATCTGTTTTTTCTCCCCATTTTGTTTATGTTGTGAAGTTTCAGCTGTTGTGGGGAGGACGGAGCGTAGGACCAGGCTTGTTTCTTGGTAGTTTGTCTTGGTATCTTTGAAATTCTTCCCCCCATTGATCAACCCAGAATCAAAAAGTGGCTAATACGTGCATGTGCAAGTCAACATAATATAATATAACATTTAGTACATGTTTTCGCCATAATTTCTCAAATCCAGAACCAAAGTGGCTAATATGTGCTGTTGAACATGATATTCTATAATATAGCTTCAAGTTTCAAGCATTGATTTGATCCTTATTCGTTAACAATCAAGGTTTTGTTGGATGATTTCATAGGAATTTGTAATTTGTAAAGATCAAAAGTTGAAAACAATGGCGAAGGAGTATAGTGGCTCACCGAAGCATCACCATATCGAGTCGAGAAGGAAGCGGTTGACATGGATTCTCGGCGTCAGTGGGCTATGCATTTTATCATACATCTTTGGGGCATGGCAGAACACCACGACACCGATCAACCAATCCGAAGCATATTCCAAAGTCGATTGCACGGATCAAACATTCCCGTCATCCCAATCCTCTTCATCAACAAATACGCTCGATTTCGAGAGCCACCATAGCGTCGAAATCAACAATTCCATTGAAGCGGTCACCAAGAAGATCTCCCCCTGCGATATGAAGTTCAGCGAATACACTCCCTGTCAAGATCCGACTAGGGCCAGGAAATTCGATCGGAGAATGTTGAAATACAGAGAGCGTCATTGTCCTCCCAAGGAAGAATTGCTCCTCTGTATGATTCCGGCGCCGCCGAAGTACAAGACGCCGTTCAAATGGCCACAGAGCCGCGATTATGCATGGTACGATAACATTCCTCACAGAGAACTTAGCATCGAGAAGGCGGTGCAGAATTGGATTCAGGTTGAAGGCGATCGCTTCCGATTTCCCGGCGGTGGCACGATGTTCCCCCGCGGTGCCAATGCTTATATAGACGACATTAACGAACTTATTCCTCTTACTACAGGGAAGATTCGAACCGCCATTGATACGGGTTGTGGCGTAAGTGAATTTCTCTTACTCAAAATTCTTTCTTACATCGCAAAATAAAATGATTCAATTATTAAATGTGTTTTTTCTAGGTAGCAAGTTGGGGCGCTTTTTTGCTGAAGAGGGACATCTTGACCATGTCCTTTGCCCCAAGGGATACTCATGAAGCTCAAGTTCAGTTCGCTCTAGAGCGTGGCGTTCCGGCCATGATCGGTGTCTTAGCCTCTCAACGACTCCCTTACCCGGCCCGGGCCTTCGACATGGCTCATTGCTCTCGTTGTCTCATCCCGTGGGCCGATAATGGTAAGACCACAAATCTAACAACTCTGATACCATCTATACTGAGTATGAAACTAACACGTTCTACGATTTATCGATACGGTGACTAGTGAGTAATTGCATCGATGTAATTTAAAACGTTTACAGATGGGTTGTATTTAATTGAGCTCGATCGAGTTTTGAGACCGGGCGGGTATTGGATTCTCTCGGGCCCTCCGATTCGTTGGAAGAAGTATTGGAGAGGTTGGGCAAGAACACAAGAGGATTTGAAACAAGAGCAAGACTCCATTGAAGAAGTAGCCAGGAGGCTATGCTGGAAGAAAGTGGTTGAGAAGAATGATCTTGCAATATGGCAAAAGCCCCTCAACCACATCCAATGCATCAAGAACAAGAAAGTCTACAAAACACCCCACATTTGCAAGTCAGACGATCCCGATTCGGCCTGGTACGTACTCGTAAAAAAACATTCCCAACCATGTTTTTAATCATTCAAGATCGTTCAACGAATATCTTATACGTACCTTCCTCGAACCCAAACTAATAAAGGTACCGAAACTTGGAGACCTGCATAACTCCATTACCAGAGGTAAGTGGCGACAACGAAGTTGCCGGTGGTGCAGTGGAGAATTGGCCGAACCGCGCATTCGCCGTACCACCTCGAATAAGTAGAGGAACAATACCAAACGTGAACAAGGAAAAATTCGAAGAGGATAACAAACTATGGAACGAGAGGATTACATATTACGGAAAGATGATCCCGTTAGAGCATGGACGATACCGAAACATAATGGACATGAATGCAAATCTCGGGGGATTTGCAGCGGCTTTGTTGAAGTTTCCGGTGTGGGTTATGAACGTCGTGCCAGCCAATTCAGACCGTGACAGTTTGGGAGTAATATACGAACGCGGCCTAATCGGAACGTACCATGATTGGTGCGAGGCCTTCTCGACGTACCCGAGAACGTACGATCTAATCCATGCCGATGGCATATTCAGCATATATCAAGATAGGTAATTAAAAGATTTGCATACTTATTTGATGAGTTTTGTAGGGTTTGATTGAAGAACAAGGGATTGTTGTGAATTGCAGGTGTGATATAACTTACATTTTACTGGAGATGGATAGGATTTTGAGGCCTGAAGGGACAGTAATTTTTAGGGATACAGTGGAAGTGTTGGTGAAAGTTCAAGCCATTTCAGATGGGATGAAGTGGAAGAGCCAAATTATGGACCATGAAACAGGACCATTTAATCCTGAGAAGATTCTTGTCGCAGTAAAATCTTATTGGACGGGTGAAACCACCCGACAATAAGAGAAACAAGCATAGTAAATTTTAAATAACTGAAGCAGTTTGTATTTTTTTTTTTTTTTTTTTTTTTTTTTTTTTTTTTTTTTTTTTTTTTTT